TCCCATGTTTGGCCTTGTAGGCAGCTGTGACCTTGCTGGAGTATGGCTCAAGAGATTGTGTTGTTCTCTTAGTGCCCGAGCTTGGTAGGACCTGGTAGGATGGAAAAGGAACTGAACCTATTTCACATGGAGGTTGTTTGAGCAGCATCTAATGCCTCCAAGCTCTTGATCTTGACTCAGGAGTCTTCGAAAAGATGAAGTTGCAGGCTCAAGATTTGAGAAACCAAGAGCACGCGACAGAATGGGTTCAGAGTTCACGCCATTCTTGGAGTGTTTCTTGCACACTGATTTGGGTGGATTATAGGCTATGTCTCCTGGTGGTGGAACTGATCACACATGGCGAACCAGTCTGCTGATCAAAAGCGCTTCTGTCTACCATAGGTTTTTTGTTTTACGCAAAGTCTCAGCACGAATCCAAAATGAGAATGGTCAGCGTCCCTACTTACATTCGGAGGTTCTCATGTCTCAAGAGTGCTGCTTTTTAATAACTTGGATGTGTTTGAACAAATCCCCTCTTAAAGGAAGAACCCCGGAAGTTCATCGAAGGCTAACGAGAAGAGATGTGTTCACTTTTTGAGGCGATATAAAGGAATCCCTCAAGGAACTAGATTTGGCGATCTCCTTCGAAGAGGTCAGGTTGAAACACACAAGGAGTCATGCGCAGAACACGATGAGGTTTGTTCAAGATGGTGTTGTACTGGAAACATGAGCTTGGGACATGTAGAACAGCTCGTATAGTTTGTGGTGCGCTGCTGGTGCCAATGATGCTGATTATTTTGGTGACTAGTGACTAGTTGTGTCTTTGATTGCCTTTTGTTCACGCTTAGCAGCTTGCAGCCACCAATCTAGCTGATACCGATCCTTAAGATCCGATGGTTGTTTGGCTTCTTGGCGATCCCAAGGGCAGTCAAGAACGCGTTCTTGTTGCGGTAGGAGGTAGTTAACCTGAAGTATCAAGGCCTTTGAATAGTTCTTTGTTATTTTTTAGAAGCAGAGATTTGGAAGACGTCTTGAACAGAATGAGGCTGGTCTTTCTCCGCCCGCAGCCTTACCACATTGGGGGCCTTGCCATCTCATCCCCAAAACAAAAGAAATGCAAAGGAACAGTCCCTCTTGCGTGGTCCAATTTCAGTGTCCGTACTATGTAGAATGGCTCTGAGGTTCCGAATAGGGGCTTTGGAGCCTGTGCAAGGGTCTGAACTCGGGTCTCATGGGTCTGGATCTCGGCCTGGATCATGGTTGTTTGAAGCTGGCCAGGATGAGGAAAAAGAAAAGAAGGAAAAGGAAGCTTCAGAAAGGAGGGCCAAAGAAGCCCAGAAAGAAGCTGAGGAAAGGGCCAAAGAGGCCGAGAAAGGGAAGTTGGAATGGTGAACCGGTGAAACCTTTAGATCATCTTGTAGTTCCAGCGATGACTAGGGTTTCTGGTTTCTGGGTGCCTGGTTAAATCACACCAAATTCGCCGAAACTCCTTCGAAATCGGACTGGCAGGGCCGGGCTGCCCTTTGTCTTTGTCTTTGGCTTTCCCAATGACATTGTTGTAACGCTCACTTGCTAGCAGACTTCTTCTATACGCTTACTGTAGCTGACAACAGGATTTTTCCTCCATACACTCAGAAGAGTGAAGACTGCCTTCCTGAACATCGTCCAGGCTGTGCTACAATTGTATAGAGTTGCGTCTGTCTGTCTCGGTCTGTCTCGGTCTGTCTCGGTCGGGCAGGACACACGGACTAAAACACCCACGATGTCAGTAATGCAGTCTCCCCCGGGCTGCACAACCGGCATTTTGATCGCTTGGTCCGAAACCATATCATTTTCTTCACAACAACTTCAAACAGCTGTCACAGGCACACCATTTTCCAAGATACAAGGGGCCCCACCAAGCTAAAGCTTATTAAGTGGACTAATCCAGCAGCATTCTTGTGGCGAAGCTTCCACTTCGGCACCTTCAGTGCGGGTGGACTTGCTATAGAATCCTTACTCAGTCACTCCTAGATCCACCAAGGAGCAGATCTGCTATCACGCCAATCGTTTTGGAGCAGTGGGTTCATGACTCTACAATGTGACACCAATCTGCCACTTCATCCGAGCACAGGCCCAGCGCATGCAAGCACAGGAGCAGGAGAGGACTCAAGAGGCTTGCAAAGGGGAAGCGGAAGTTGTGATGCCAAAGATCGGTGAAAAGGAACTTGCAAACTCCAATCGAAGTATAGTCATCCGCAAGTAGATTAGATGTGGACCACGAAACATTTCACACATAACTAGTTTTTGCGTGTCCCATTTTTGTTTGCTAGGTAGAGAGTATTCAGCCTTTTCGTTCATATGCCCCGATGGGCCAGGAGCAGGCCAAGGCCACAGTGGAATCCTTGATGAAGTCGGAGGACTTGGTGACAAAAAGACTCGTTCTTTGAGCTGCAAGCTGGATACGAACTGACTATTCGTATACCTTTTTGGGAATTGTTTGAAAAAATGTGACGTGAAACAATCAGCAAGTGAAGAGACTATCAAATCTACGGAATAATCAGCAGTGTCGAAGGTGTGACATCGGGCAACCTCTTGGGCACAATTCGCAAAATCTTTTCAGGACAACTCAAGTTGAAGGTGCTTCAATAGCATTTTTCTCAGCTTAGAATCGTTTTTTAAGGAATGCGAGGTACCAGGGCACCTATGTCCGCCATTTGTTAAGAAACTGTCGTCAATCGACTTGCCAAGTCCAACCGTTTGATGAGGTTGTTTTCTCTTGACGCCCCTGACCCAACGAAAAACGTCACCTGGGTTTTCTCTTATTTACGTGGAAGCAGCTTTGGTGTTTGCCCAACTCAAAGGTCAAAGGTTCTATGACCTGGTTGTGTTGGTTGTAGGTTCAGGGGCCAAGGACAAGGCCAACATGCAAGTTGGCTAAACTCAGCGCAGGAGCCAGCTGAAGATTTCCGCAATGTGCGCTTGTCGACTGGACCAGAGGATTACTCAGTGGGGCTGGCCGGGGTGAGGGATGGTTCGACGTATGCTAGGCTGCAGTGGTCTAAACTGGTTATGTGAAGTCGATCAGTACTGTGATGTGGAGTCTGAACAGCCTGTCATGGTGTTCGGGGTGGGTAGCACATATTTTGCTAGTATGGTGCCTATGTTTTGATCGCCCGCCAGCTTGCTCGGCCAAAATTTAAGAGTCCTTGACGGTACTTTACACCTTACTCTGGGTTAAAGGGACCCTGTCGTTAACAAGCTTCCACTCTTGGTTGATGTAGGTTGGGCGAAAAGTACAACCTAATTAGTGGACCTTAGGCTGAACTGCTTCTTGTAAGTTGGCCATGATGAGGGCGACTGCCAACATTTCTCCGCAGGAAAAGGGCGTGACTGCCCTAATGCCGCCTCCGAACACGCACGTCACACCTCCCCCGCCGCCGGTGGAAGATTACCAGGCATGAAGATTGGGGGACCAGGCTGCTAGGAGGAGATTGAACGAGGTTGATTGTGAACTGACAACCTGATAGAACATGTGCTGGAGGGTTTGAAGCCCTTTCTCATGTGGAACAACGATATCATATAATATTGATAATATACATGTTACATGTGTATATAATGTATATAAGACCCAACCCAGAGCTTGGGCATGGTGTCCTTCCAGAAGGCTTTTCTGCCGCCAGCACAATGTTTCAGGGCACCCGGGTTTTGGCCCACAACCATGTGGAGCTCTGAGTATTTCAATTCCCCCTTGCGTTTTCAAGCCTCAGCTTCAGAAGCTGTTCACCACTCTACAGCAGGTCGTTTTTCAAGAAATCACTGAACGGCCCAATCTTCGTTAGACAAAAGTTTGAAGAAGACCTGTGCGTCCGTGACCTTGTATGCCAGATTTGTGAGGGTCAAAACCATAGTCATTCACTTTTGGGATGTTTGCATATGGAAGTCTATTCTGAAAAGGTTACTGAGTCGGGTAGAAGGGTATACATCAGCGGATGGACCACCACATGCCTTCGGTCCAGGTGCCTTCGTTCTTGCTCCGAAAGCCGAAAAAACCGCTGACGCGGGATTCCAAATGAGCAGAATCTGTAGAAAAGAGGCGAACCTTGCGGCTGTCCTAGACGAACATCCAGCATTATCAAGCCGGATCCTGGATTGCATCACATATCGATATACATACGTATATACACATACATATATATATATATATGTATGTCGTTCTTCCACACATAAAGGTCAAAACCCACATGTAGGTGTATAGTTACCTATGTATAGACTCTAGACACTCTGAGTGATTATTTCTTTCTGGGGTTCAAGAAAAGGGACTCTTACGCAACATGTTAACTTCCTTAGCAAGAAAGTCAAGTCTGTTGGTCTCTCTCCCCGCGCGTCTGAGTCTTAGTAGTAGGAGATAGTAGGAGTTAGCTCCCGCGCTCAAAACTTTAGTCAGTAGAAACAGACTTTGCTTTGTCTGTTCTGCTTCTTCGCTGTAGTAGACTCAGATAACATTTGGCTTGCAGTTTGAGTTAACAACACACACACACACGCAGCCTATTTTACCAAATATCGATACCGATCCACATGGTGGGGTTAAAATTGTCAATACGTTAGTTTATAAGGAAAGCGATCCCAGCATCCGCTCTTGTTTCTTTCCTTGTTTCACCTCAATGTGAGTGAACATGCTCTATCCGCTTTTTGACGTTTCGAAGCCCATGCCCAAGACGTTGGAACCCAGTAAACTACATATACTGAAGTAGTCCCGAGCAGGCACATTCAGAAGACTCATATTTCCTACCACGCATTCTGTTCTCCGACACACATGGCAGCATCGTGCAGCTATCAGGAATGTTCTTCATCATATGCCGTGATTGATAGCAACGAACCCAAATGTACTAGCGTTACTAGCATGCAAGCTTCTCCAACACCAAAGCTACTAGGAACAAGTGCCTTACTAGTATTACTAGTAGTAACAATGTTTGCTAGTAGAAACAAGAATTACTAGCATGCCTCTTCGGTGTAGCTACATTGCCTGTGGAAAACCTAAGGCGAGGACCGGATCCTTTGGTCTGTCACGCACCATCTAAAGATGCGTGAAGGCAGGGCGCTGGGAACATGCAGATCTTTGTCAAGCAAGCAATGTAGAGTATATATAAACTCCCAAGACTGGGACTATGCAATTGAGAACAATGCCATTGGGCGCTGCTCTGCTGTGTACAAATCCCACTTGTAGTTGATAAGAAAAATGAACAACTCCAACACTTCGCAGGTGATCTTATCCAAAATGCACGACGTCGTTTGACATGTCAAGCTTCAGGCAAAACCAACCCATAACCACAAAGGCCTCCCCCTTATTGGCAGTGCATGTTCTCATTCGGTTAGCTGTGGTGATCTTGGATTTAGCAACAAGTGCATGGCTACTAGTAACACGTGCATCTCTACTAGTCAAGGGCATTACTACGAACGTAGCAAGGAGCTACGAACGTCACAAGGGTTCTTCGGCGCCATCCACGGGTCTCCATTGCGCCGTCCACGAGTTCCCTCAGGGATGACCTTCCAGCGTCGCCTTCTGATTGAGGGCTTTGAGCTACCACAGTCGCTGGTGGGGAGCCCAGTCAATCCGCTCGAGAGAGACGAACGGTGTGCCCAGTGATAAACATTTTTTTGCTTGCTGGGTGGATGGTAGTTGTTTTTGCTGATTTTGCGTAGTTTCGAAGAAAGAGACTCGGGTTCGACAAAGCTGGTGGGGGCACCAGGGGTCAAACCTGCACCATCCGTCCCGCCTGTTAGAAGTGATGCTGGTGGCAGATGTCTTGACGTTTCAACTCTGCCTGAAACGCTTGATCTGTTTGTAGGATCTATGGAGTTGAATGGAGTTCAACATGTACGGCGCGTCCTCACAACATGAAACCTGAAGCAGCCACTTTCTATTTCAAGGCATAATTGAAAAGGAACTGTTCTGGTGGCATCACTTTCAATCACAGTATGGATTTGAGGATGCACTTTTTGCCCCTTATCCCGATTGTTTTGGAACATCCACTTGGGAGAATCACTGAATCTTAAACAAAAGCAACTTGGTTGATTCTCCATGGCAGCTGAAAGGAAAGCTGACTTATGACTTCTTTTCACACCGGACCCCTACTGACCCGCTCACACGCCAGCCGCATTCCTCAGGGGCCGGACAACCGGATCTGCCAGGGCAAGGTAACGCAAGAGATGGTACTTCATGAGTCGCCCAGCTGCGTTTGAACGGTGCGCAGTTTTCTTGGGACGGGACGACGCAGACAACGCCCTGTCGACGTTAGGGAGCAAGGGGCACTGCGCCGTTGGTCGCCCGGTCGACGTTTCAAGAGGTAGGAGCCTGGCGCCTTTCTCTTTTGATGCCTTCAAGTGCGATCTGATGTTTTGTCGGAAAAAGATTAGTGTCGGAATGCCTCTGATGGCTCTTGTGGTGTCCAATGTCTACAAGTGAACTGTGTCCAATGGCTCCACAGGTTCAGAAGCCGTGACTTGCTTCCGACATTGTGTCTGTGCACTGAGGTACCGCTTGGCCTTCTGAGCGAAAAGGGTGCAACTTGCAAGTTCGACACGGGAGAGCACCCGTCCTTCATATCGTTTGGGATATCAATTTTTGGGCCAGTGCTGAATCAATGGAAGCTTTTTCTTGTTGTGCCAAGAGTACCGGGCAAGATCCACACTTCAGCTCCAAACAAAACAAGAAAGCAAGGACACGTGTCACGCTTGACGCCCACCAGCGTTGTAGGCTCAAGGAAGCACTGTAGGCCATCAGCAGTGGCTTCAAGAACTGAACCAAGCGTTTCTTTTTTTTTTTTCTCTCTCTCTCTCTATATACACCTGGAACCCAACTGACACCTGTTTTTGATAGGAAAATACCTTATTTTGGGTGTTTGGTGGTCCAAAATAGAGGTCATTCAGGTTCTAGGTATATATATATATATAAGTTGTAGATTTTCACCTATTCACTGCCTGCTCAAAATCCTAGGATTCATCGTTTCTTGAGTTATGCAGAACAAGGGACTCGCCGACCATGGGCTTTCATCTATTCTCTGCAGAAAGCCAACAAACATCACACATTCCAGTTCCACCATTTTGAAATTCCCCCAGGCATTCCCCCGTTTCTTAAGATTGAGAAGCGCAGGTTTTGAAGCTAACATTCGGAGAGCACTTCTCTGGAAATGAGGGTGTCGTGGTGTGTCATCTGAGTAAAGACACTCTCTCCGATCGCCACAGCGCTTGAGGGTGCGTCTTAAAATCAGAGACCCAAACTATCCTGGCAAGACAATTGGATGAGAAGTCATTGGCTGCAGTGGAAAGAAGACTCGTTGATGGGACTTCTCCCAAACTCCATCATTGGCAAAAAATTGATTTCCTCTCCCCCATGAGGTTCATAGAAAAGACCCATGCAAATAGCCATAATCTTTTTGATGATATAGATAGGGGTCATTACTTCTCGACATCCTTACCCCACTAGGTCACTAGGGGTCATTCAACAAACATTCTCCAAATTCAATCAATTGCACTTATTTCTATGACCCCAAACCCCCCTGTTGCAGGGCCCTTTGCAGTCACCAGAGTCTCTCGAATCTTCGGCTTGCCATGGCGAAGCCGGACGAAGAAAAGCTTCGTGAAGAGTTGAAGGTGAAGCGCATCCCTTCTTCGAGAGAACTGCGGATGATGCGAGATCGGTTTTGATCTTCTTGAAACATAACAAACAATGAGATGGACATTTGTTCCTCTAAACTTTCCAAGGCATCATTCTTCGTGAGCACTCCACTTCCAAGGTGGGATAACTCCAGCCCCCGATATCACACTTCAGGCTTGAGGCCTGCTGACCAAGGAACACCAAAAGCCTGAGAGAGACACCCCAGTCGATTCTTACCGTGAGGCGTCATCAGAATTCTACAGTATATGGTTACAGAGTTGCACCCGATTGCACAGCCCAAAAAAGATCAACACACTGTTTCTGGCGGCCATCACCCCCCGGTCGCAAGTTGTTTCTTTATTTTCCTGAAAGCACCTGCGAAGGGTTCTCCGTAAAGAACGGCTGTCAACTTCAACTGCCCAACTATCATCATTATCATCATCGTCATCATTATCATCAGCATCATCGTTGTCAGTATCATCATCATCATCATCATCACCATCATCATCATCATCATCGTCGTCATCGTTATCATTGTCGTCATCGTTATCATTATCATTATCATTCACATTCATTCATTCATTCATCCTTCCTTCCTTCCTTCCTTCCTTTCTTTCTTTCTCTACGCCCTCTGTCTCGAGAGAGGTGGCGTTGACCCCCTGGGAACTAAGGTCAGTACTTCGTACCGCGCACGGTCAGTCAGTCAAAGCTACGAGCCAGTTGCAGGGCCAAGCAATCACGTGCCTGGTCTAACTGCCTAGCTCGTAGGAACTTGTGAAGCATTCCGAAATTGCGGTAGCACGGGCACAAATGATCATCTATACTATCCTCCATGGCATGGTATGGATGGCAGGGACAGATTCGATCTGGCCTTGCACTGTCCTCGAATTGCCTAGCCAAGTCATCCAGCAGCCGCTCGGCAGCAGACCACAGCTCGTCATGGTGGTGTTTCAAGTGGTCCATGAGGCAAGGCGGCCGCATGTCGCAGCGCACGCAGCGGAACAGCAGCTGCCTGCAGGCTTCAGGCCAGGTCAGCAGCAAACCAATGTCCAGCCTGTCAATGGCTGGCAGCCAAGCATCCTGCCAAGGCTGCTGAGGAGAGGCCTGCTTCAGGTTGACCATCATTTGTTCCTGACGGGGAGATCAGGTCACACATCGTGGCGCCACCATTAGTGCTTTGCAGCCACAAGAGGCAGCAGTTCCTCAGTACCAAATCCGGCAGTCGGGGCACAGTCTCTGGGGGCGCATCGTCGTCCAGGAGGTGCCACTGCTTGTCATCCCAAAGAGCTGTCCTATAGTGTCCTGTTTGTGGTTCGTCCCCCAAATGAATTGGAGGCTGCCAAACTCCTGAATGAGAGAGCTCTTGCCACAGGGAGTGCATCTCCTGTGAGTGTTGGTGAATCATGGCCAGTGTGAGGCGCCATAGAATTACCGGTGGATTGGAGCCATGGTCTTTGTTCATGTTTGCTGGATCTGTGCATTGGGACAAAGGGCTCCAAACCGGAAGATAGAGCGTTGCTGAAAAAGAGCCAACATGCGAGTGAGCTGTGTCATCACGTGTTGCACCGACAGGGAAGTCCACTAAAGATACGTGAATTGGAGAGGCTGTTGCTCGTCCATCACCACGTACTGATACTGAATCGAGGTCTTGATCAAGTCGTCTTCTGGTTTGGCGTGCTTCAGCTTCGTAGCTCTGTGCAGGAGGTCCTCCAGCAGTACTCGAAGGACTTGGATTCGAAGAGGCACCGCCTTGTCCTTGGGCTCCGTCAGGTGCCACTCTTCTGTGGCCTTCATCATTTTCATCATGATGCTCCCTGGTCCGAGGCTCAATAGGGAGAGGCGGGCAGGTGTCGAAGATTTTCGTTCTGGTTTGAGTGGGGAGCACTGTTCTTTGGTTGCTCTTGCCCTTGCCCTTTCGTTTTGAGGGCTGATGGTCTGCCTTCTGGCGCTTGGAGTGCGGGATGGATGCGTCTTCCTCCATGGGAGATGCTAGGGATTTGAGCATTCCCCAGATCTGTGTCGCCTGATCTTGCGGCTGTGCCTCGATGTCCGTGCAACCGACAAAGCAATCCCGCCAGCGCTGCAGTGGTATGCAAGTGGCACACGGAGCAATGTGGTTGCTTGGAGACCATGTCAGCCATGTACTTATGATATAGGGATCCACGAGTGACGAAGGTGGAGGTACATGTCATGTGCCCCAACTGACTGAGGGCTGCGCATAGATCTGGCATCATGAAGACCTTGTCCAGTTCTCCCCTCGCCAGCCATTCGTCCAGCTCCCAAAACAGCAAATGCAGTGAAGGGCAGAGCGCCAGGAAGTCCAGCTTCAAGGCCTGAGTCAGGACAGCGTCATTTCCAGCAAGCCGGAATTTGTGCAGGTCGTGGTGGACAAACAAGGCCAGTTGGGAGATGGTGCGTACGTGAGGGCCATTGGGGGTCTGGTGCGCAACCCAGTCTGGATAGAGCTGTTTGGGTTTGGAGCCATTCAGCGTACTTGGTGAGTTCATTCCACCCATCCCCGTGGCTGTTGCACAAGTGGCGCAACAAGGATGTCGATCTCTGGACAGATGTCCGCATATTCCACAGCGTAGCCCTAGCCTTTTGAGCAGGCTTTTGAGCCTGATCAAATGATCAAAAGTTCCACCGCTGAGGCCTGACAGGATCACCGTGTGATGCCACAGCGTAGGAGTCTCTGCGGAGTCCTGGAACAGTGGTTACCATCAATGTGTTCTTTCAAGGCCTTCAAAGTGAGGAAGGGTTGGCCACAGTGTGCACACTGTAATTGTCCAGGAACCTGATCTCGAAGTGGTTGGAACGTCAACTGCGCTGTGGTGTGCCGATGTTGCATGCTCTGATGCTGATGGAGCCCAGCAGCCGTAGCAAATTGACTGCTGCAAATGCTGCAATGGAACTGAGCCTGAGTGAGAGGAGCAGCAGTGGGACTGGGCTCAGGATCTTCAGGATGTTGGTCACGGTGTTTCCTGTCGCGAAGAGCAAGTCCAAGTTGCTTCATGACTGCACAGGGTGGGCCTTGGATCGAAATTCCTTCTTGCAGGAAGAGCAAGGAGATTGAACTCTGGCCCTGGTGATGTTGGGAAGTACTTCATGAATCAAGTTGGCCGCTTCAGGATGCTCTCGACTCATGTGTGCACTCATCTGTTGAGTTCTCGCTGCCCAGAAGCCACAAAGGACACATCGATGTGTCAAGAAGGTGCTCAAATTGCCATCCTCTTGGAGCAGCTGCAGGTCACCAGCGCCGTAGATGTCCAGCAAGCGGCGCCGATGCTGCTGAAGGACCAGGGGTGGTGCCTTGGTGAGTTCAAGACTTGTGCGTGTGAGAGCTTGTGTGTGATGTCGAAGGTTTTGCCAACTGATGAACGAAACACCGCAGTGTCTACATGTAGGTCGTCCATCAATGGTGTCGCGTGCTATATCCAAAGGAGGTCCCTGCAAGACTGCTATTCCATGCAAATGTACCAGAGTGTGTTGGCGCTTGAAGATTTGACCACAGGTCTGGCAAGTGACAGTGAGTCCTGCCTCAGCCAGGTGAGGATCAGCCAAGTCATCCTTTGCCATGTAGTCCTGCAGCCAACATTGAATACATTCAATGGCCATATGAAGGTGAGCCACCTGTGAACGTACAAGAATGTCAGTCGAGTGTAGTTGTGCATGTCTCTCCTCCCAACGTTTCAGTTGAGGAAGCAGTCGAAGATGGAAAAGGGATACCAAAGAAGAATGATCACGATCCCAGGAATGCCCGAGCCTTCGCCTGCCGAGGCGACTGCTGCGGCCAAGCCCACACCGCGACCAACAGCGGCGCCCTTCACTGGTCAAGCGCCGCTGCAACGCAGTGGGCCATATTGAAGTTACGAAACCCCGCTTGAGGTTGCCGTCCTGAAGTGCGGCATTGACGGCAGCCTCACGCATACCGAGTTCGAGCCCGACATGCCTTGCTTTGCGCTCTTGTTGACCATGAAAAGCAAGCCGATCCTCACCTACGACCTACAAGGTCAAGTATTCCCGATTCCGTGACAGCGTTTGTTGAGGCAGCCGCGCGCGCCAATCTAGGCGGAGATGTCCCACAGCAGCTTGAAACGTCAGCAATGGCATGTAATGGTCGAAATTAGCAACCAGTGCTCTAGACATTGAATTTTGAGACCCTTTTCTTCTCTTCGGTTGATGTCACGCACGTTCCGAGAAGGAATGGTTTTGCAGCCCTGCAGCCTAGTCAGTGGAGAAAGTTCAGATCATCATCATCAGGGAAATATTCCCTAATGGTATGGCATGCCTTTTCCAAAGCATTTTTCAGCGTTTGTGAGGTGGCCTTCGTCACCTCACGCTGCTCTCCCTTTACACCTCTGTCAGTCGAGAATGGAATGCTGATGAGGGAAATTCAGTGTCCTTCTACTTCTTCCTGACGAAGATGTACTCAAAGCCCGAGTTGCTATTGTCTCACTCTTCCTACGTCTCACCTCTTTTTCACCTAAGGGCTTTGTCTCCTCAGCCTCATTTCTTCTTTTTAGCGACGTGAGGCCTGACCTCAATACGCGCTGGGAGGGGGAAATGCTGCCTACTTTATCTTGGCGTTGGCGCCATTGTAATCATCATTCATCATCATCATCATCATCATCAACCTCATCTAGGTTACTGTCCTCATCCTCATCCTCATCGTTACTTTCTGTCATCTCCTGCAGTGCTTTCGGGCCACCCTGTCGTCTATTTTTTTTCGGGGATATTCGTGGTAAGAAATCCCATATTTTGCCGGGCCGCTGCCAGAAAGCAGGTGCTTTTGCAAGCCCAGGCCGAATGGGCCGAGGCAGAAATGGGAGACGTGACCATGCGAGGAAATCGGACAAAATGGGACGAGATGGAACGAAAAGCGACCCCAAAGTCTACTGGGTGGTGGTTTCAGATATTTTTCATCTTCAAATGAAATGAAACCGTAACAAGTCTTGCAGATGTACTTTTTAAGATGGGCGACTCAGAGAGGAATACAGGATCAGCCTTTTCAGGATCCCTTGTTGTGGGAGATGCTCAAGGCTCACTTAGTGAATATTGAGGTGCGTCGACTTTGTATCTTTGAATGTTTTTGCTGCAGCCAGGTTTCCACTTGTTTGCCAATAGTCAAGTTGTACTGACAAGTGAGACTGTCAATTTGAATTGCAACAATGTTAGAGTCCAACTGCCAAAAACCTTGGAAGTATGCGAAGTATCCCTGACAAATGTGCTCGACAAAGGTCACCGCTGTGGCCTTCACTCCCCGTGGCTTAATTTTTGAAGACCCAACGAAGACCTAAGACGTTTTCCAAGGTTTTTGACAAAACGGGATACTATACGACAGGAGACATCACTGCAAGTGTGCCGCAGGGTTCCCTGAGTTGATCTTTTTGGAATACACCTTTCTGAACAAATCCAAACCTCATAAAGCCCTGTTCATGGTGGTAGGGAGAATGGTGACAGGGACTTCGGCATCCAACTTGTATTTCTTGCAAAAAAAACGTTAACAAAAACACACTGGTTCTCCGGTCCTTCATCCCCAGCATCTCTTCAGATGAAACAACCAAACCAAGAAACACACCGAGCAAGATCGTGTCCGGTCTGACAAGGGTGCGGCCTGCGGCTTCGTGCCTCGGAGTGCCTCGGAGTGCGCCAGGAGCTCCAAGAGCTTTCGCTCCGTCGAGATGCCATGATGCAGAAGGCCCAAGCGGCCGAGGCCGCCGTGGAGGCCGAGCGCCAGGCGGATCCGGGGCGGTGAAACGGGGTGCCCCGGCCATCTGTACGTACCCTCATCTCCTGAACCTGGTTGATTTCCTCATAATCTTTTTCAGACCTGCCAATAGGTTTCATGAAGGTCTTACTTAGTATGTTAGTAATTCTCCTTAAACATGAGTCGTGCGGATGTTGGACGATTTCCGCACACGAACATGGCCCGGCACAACCAGTTCCAGAGTTTTTGCTTTGATCCTGTTGAAATATATCAGCAAGAGTGGAAGAGGCCATGCATCTATGTCAGACAACCGCGTGAACAAGTCAACAAGCACACATTTGGCATGTGCTGTTTGGTGGAGCACTTGGTGGGTTAGAAGGGATGGTCATCAACTCCGGGCTCTGGTTCACCATCTCCCAACATGTTATTTTGACAATGGCACACATTTTGCAGTTGTCGTTTCCTACGTCGCGTACCGGACGGCCCCTAGGCCTTTGGGCTCAAACAGCCGAACGGTTCGGCTGGTTCAGCTGTTGCTTCCTTTCGATGGACAGCTGTTACCTTTATTCATGCAGCAAGAACTGTCCATTAACATGGCTGGCCATTGCTAAGACGAGTTGGCCAGTTCCAGCAGGAAGAAGACGTTGGGTTTTCGATCAATTGCATGGGGAAAGTCAACGTGCACACACGCACACAGAGGAATACTCTGAATGTCGTCCCGACAAGTATGTCCGTAGAAATGATATCGTCCCTGCTTGTATGATGTCGTAGAGTACACCAACCAAACCGAGACCGTAACAGGGCCTGGGGTCACTCAAGCGATGGGCGCTGGTGCTGCTTTGGAAGCTTCGCGAGATGAGAAGTTCCATGAAGGGCACCTTGGATGAAAGGCGGTGCAACTTTAGATGCTCTTTTTGGTTCAACGTTCCAAGCTTTTTTGGCAGTGGATTCCATTGGGACATCATTTTGGTTTGGGGTTCACCTAATCATTTATTTGGGGAGGTGGCCTGGTTCCAACGCTAGGTGCTCGCTGACAGCTTGGGGTCTTTTTAATACTTTTCACCTAGTCTTTGTGAATTGTTATTCCCCAAACAGGTTTACCTGTGAGGGGTTCTTACTCCTTTTAAAGGGGTGCATGCTCGGGCCGGATGATTTTGAGTTTGTCTCCGGGCTTGTGTTCCTGGCCGCATGATTTCACCCTTGTCTCCCACTTGTCTCCCACTTGTCTCCCACTTGTCTCCCAGTAAGCTCTGGATGCTCTCAGTGCTCTGGCCGCATGATTTTATACTTGTCTCCCATTTGTCTCCCACTTGTCTCCCACTTGTCTCCCAGTTGTCTCCCAGTAAGCTCTCGATGCTCTCAGTGCTCTGACCGCATGATTTCAGGCTTGTCTCCCATTTGTCTCCCACTTGTCTCCCAGTAAGCTCTGGATGCTCTGAGTGCTTGGCCGCATGATTTCACACTTGTCTCCCATTTGTCTCCCACTTCCCACTTGTCTCCGAGTAAGCTCTGGATGCTCTCAGTGCTCTGGCCGCATGATTTTATACTTGTCTCCCATTTGTCTCCCACTTGTCTCCCACTTGTCTCCCAGTTGTCTCCCAGTAAGCTCTGGATGCTCTGAGTGCTTGGCCGCATGATTTCACACTTGTCTCCCATTTGTCTCCCACTTGTCTCCCACTTGTCTCCGAGTAAGCTCTGGATGCTCTGAGTGCTCTGGCCGCATGATTTCACACTTGTCTCCCACTTGTCTCCCAGTAAGCTTTGGGTGCTCTGAGTGCTCTGGCCGCATGATTTTATACTTGCGTCCCATTTGTTTCCCACTTGTCTCCCAGTAAGCTCTGGATGCTCTGAGTGCTCTGGCCGCATGATTTCACACTTGTCTCCCACTTGTCTCCCAGTAAGCTCTGGATGCTCTGAGTGCTCTGGCCGCATGATTTTATACTTGTCTCCCATTTGTCTCCCACTTGTCTCCCAGTAAGCTCTGGATGCTCTCAGTGCTGTGGCCGCATGATTTTATACTTGTCTCCCATTTGTCTCCCACTTGTCTCCCAGTTGTCTCCCAGTAAGCTCTGGATGCTCTGAGTGCTTGGCCGCATGATTTCACACTTGTCTCCCATTTCTCTCCCACTTGTCTCCCACTTGTCTCCCAGTAAGCTCTGGATGCTCTCAGTGCTCTGGCCGCATGATTTCATACTTGTCTTCCATTTGTCTCCCAGTTGTCTCCCACTTGTCTCCCAGTAAGCTCTGGATGCTCTGAGGGCTCTGGCCGCATGATTTCAGACTTGTCTCCCACTTGTCTCCCAGTAAGCTCTGGATGCTCTAGTGCTCTGGCCGCATGATTTCACATTTGTCTGCCATTTGTCTCCCATTTGTTTCCCACTTGTCTCCCAGTAAGCAGAGGTGCTCTGGCCGCATGATTTCACACTTGTCTCCCACTTGTCTCCCAGTAAGCTCTGGATGCTCTGAGTGCTCTGGCCGCATGATTTCACACTTGTCTCCCACATGTCTCGACTTGGCTCCCAGTAAGCTTACTTGTCTTCCACTTTGTTTCCCATGGCCTGTCTGGATGCCCTGTATCCCCGGGCTTGGCTGGATGGTGGGCCGATTAATTTTAGCACTTGTGCGGCGTCCCATTGTAAAGTCAATGAAAAACAGAATTTTAATGCTTTCCCTTTGAATCTTGTATGTGCGTCTACATGGTGGACTATAGTTTTCTTCCTCTAGGAAATACTGCTGGCCATATTGTTCGGAGAACTCATTTTTGAACATTGCTCTGTTTGGGGTCTACGCTGGTATAATTAGGTGCTGTTGTCATCCACTCTTGACACTGGTAGGTGAGAAGTTCTTGTGTACCAGAGTACTAATTCGATAGAGGAAGTGGAAGCAAGTGCAAGTGCCCAGGGAGCAGCGGGAATTTTTTTAGAATAAGGTAGCCTAGACTAATATACATGGCTGTGGTAAGTAGGGAGGAAGTGGGCAAAGTTGAACTGGGCGATACACATGGCCGTGGCCACAAGTTGAACAGCCCCACTTGGAGACCAACTCCTGTCGAGCCTGGGGTTTGGAGAGGCCACCAGGGTGAAGGGGCACAGAAGTATCTCTTTGCTGACCCAGACCATAGATGGCCTACTACTATTGCTTGATTGATTAGCTGATTTTTACCATCAAGTGAACAACCAATATATTGGTAAATGAACCTCCCAAAAGGGCATCACTGACCCAGACAGCTGGTGTTTCACAGCGGCCGAGACGCTAGGCAGAGATCTGACACTTCGAACGGAAGCAGAGATGCTTCGAGGGTCTCCATTCATGGTCTCAATGGTGATACCTTTGAGCTCCAAGTCGCCTATACGACAACGGTCCGAGATGTAACACAGGCTCTTGCAGCCCAACTTGGCCCAGGGAGAAGACTTGTGCTGACTTCTAGTGGCCGTATCCTCAATGAATCCAAACCGATACAGCAAGAGGTCCGTGGGGAAGAAATCACCTATGTTGCGCAGCCAGTTGGTGCAGGTGAAGCAGCTGTCAGCCTTTTGCGAGCCTTGGGAGAGGACTCTAATAAGCACTTGGGTGCAGCAGATCTGAATGCAATAGACGCAGTTGCATCCTTGACCTTTAGCGACGACTTTGACCAGAGTTTAGAACGTGTCATACTGCCTCGCAGCCTGCAAAGTTTGACATTTGGCAGTCACTTCAACAGAAGCTTGGCAGGTGTATTGCTCCCAGAAAGCCTGCAGACCTTGACTTTTGGACAAGACTTCAACCAAGGCTTGGAGGGCATCAAATTGCCACATGGCCTGCAGACATTGACCTTTGGCCATAAATTCAACAAGAGCTTGGCATGGGTGACGCTACCAAGCTCCTTGCAAACCCTGACATTTGGCTACAGATTCAACCAAAGCCTGGAAGGTGTCATCCTGCCAAGCAGTCTGCGAACCTTGACTTTCGGTGAGCTTTTTGCGCAGAGATTAGACGGGGTCGTGCTGCCAAGCAAATTGCGAACTTTGGTTTTTGGTGGTGAATTCAATCATAGCTTGCAAGCTGTCCCGCTGCCAAGCAGCCTGGAGACTTTGACGTTTGGCAATCTATTTAACCAGAGCTTAGACGGTGTCAAACTGCCAGGTGGATTGCAGAGATTGAGCTTTGACGGTCAATTCAACCAGAGTCTTGCAAGTGTAACGCTACCGAGCAGCCTCCGGATCCTGACCTTTGGCCCAGAGTTCAACCAAAGCTTAGCGGATGTCAGGCTGCCAAGTCTTGAAGCGTTGAAGTTCGGCGTTGACTTTAGGCGCTGCCTCGCAGGAGCAGCGTTATCATGCAGCTTGAGGACTTGTAGGGAAGTTGCCCCCACGTTGCACCAGAGCTTGAAAGGTGTCTCCTCTCTGCCACCAAGCCTGCAGACCTTGTCCTTGGGAATCTCGAAAGGCATCTCGCTGCCAAGCAACTTGCAGACTTTGACATTCAGCCCTGATTTCAACCAAAGCTTGGAGGGGTTGAGATGGCCATGCAGCTTGAAGACTTTGACCTTTGGAGATGAGTTCAACCAAAGCTTGAAAGGTGTCATACTCCCATGCAACCTGCAGGTGCTGACCTTCGGTCAGGAATTTAACCGGAGCTTGGCAGGAGTCGTGTTGCCCAGCAGCCTGAGGTCGCTCACTTTCGGGGCCCATTTCAACCAGAACTGGTCGGGTGTCAAGCTGCCAAGCAGCTTGCAGATATTGACTTTCGGCGAACTCTTCAATCAAAGCTTGACAGGTGCGAAGCTGCCAAGTGGACTTCGGACTCTTACGTTCGGACCCAGTTTCAACCAAAGTGTAAAGGGTTTGACCCTGCCAAGCAGCCTGGAGACTTTGACGTTTGGCTTTAGCTTCAACCAGAGCTTGAGAGGTTGCATGCTGCCAAGCAGCCTGCGGATTTTAGTCTTTGGTTATGCGTTTAACCAGAGCTTGGAAGGTGTCATGCTGCCAAGCAGCCTGCAGACTTTAACCTTCGACTACACGTTTAATCACAGCATGTCAGGTGTTGAGCTGCCAAGCAGCCTACAGATTCTGACATTCGGCTACAAGTTTCGCCACAGCTTGGCAGGTGTCACACTGCCCAGCAGCCTGGAGAAGCTGACCCTGGAAGGTAGTTTTGACCTGTGTGGCCTCGAGGGTGCGCTGCCAAGCAGCCTCCGTGCACTCTCTTTCATGCCATTTTCTGTGCACCTGGCCCAACGGAATTGTTGGGCATAGTCAAGTTTCTTTGCGCACACCCATTGGCTCTCCGCACGGTGCAAAGCGGGCAGCTGTTTGGTCTTGGCCTGATCTCTTTTTGGATTCGAAGCTGTTCATTCGAAAGGGGTTAAGATGCAGCTATTTCACCTGCGCAGGAAACCGAGCATGCAAGGCCCAAACGTTGTTCAACATTGGGCGCTTTGTTCCTACCCACTAGGTCTGGGACCCTCTACTCTGAAACATCAAAGTGGATTGATCGCGACAAGAATCAGTATTAATATAGAGATATCAATATCAATATAAATCTGAGCATGCACATACATATATACAGGAATAGAGATACCTATAACATTACATTGTACCCTGCTACATTCGAGTCTATCGGAGTCTATGCTGTATTCTTTTTCAGGTTCCATGTGGGTTTGTGTGAAAGTTGGAGAAATCCTCTACTGACTACCCAGTTGGCCCAAGGGATCATTGGCCAGGCGATGGATGACTTGGAACGGGAGTGCCACAGCTTTGACTTGCGGAAAAGGCAAGCGAACGAGGAGGCGTGGGCCGTGGACCATGTTGGCCCTTTGGCGTGCCGCGCCTTGAACACTCCGCACGGGTCACCCCGAACTCATGACAACAGACAGGGTGACACGTTATGGTACCTGAACCATCCATAGGGGTTTTGTTTAAGATAGAAAAGACAATTGTGGCGAATTTGCAGAAAACTTCAATTGAGTTGAGCTAGTGAGGTTTTGTTTCTCAAGCTGGCAGTCGTGATGTCGTTTGAACTCTTGATGAGTTTGCAAGATTGTTTTCTGTAGATTCGCCTCACAACTAGCCCATTCGTTCAAAGGCCCTGACGTAAAGGTACCTATGAGGGAATATGCGCAACAAATTGTATACCAGTTCTCAAGTTGCAATGGTTGCATCCACATGCGTACTGCGCAAGCTTGCCCGTTACAAGGGTTGCAGACCTTGAAGAGCTGAAACAGGCATTCTGGCAGGTGATCGTTAAAGGATTGGCGTGGATGTCCAAGTTTGACACTTGAATCACAACTCTGGACAACACCTGCCCATCTTCAATTCCAGAACAGCCATGGCAAATGTGTTTTCCCCACATGGCACCCCAGTTTTTTGAGATGGTACTTGTACAACCAGGTAGCAATCAGAGACCATGCCAAACAGGGCGACATCAACTCGACTCATAACATTTTCACCTTCCGGGTGTCTGGGGTCTAGTCGACGTGTGGCCTATACTGAACATGGAAACACATGTAGATCCCTGCAACATGTCGAAAAAACATGAAACAAACGGGTTTTTCCCAAAAGCATCTCTGATGCTTGGGTTCTGATTGTTTTTTTTCCTAAAGAAATCAGGGAACAAGGAAACCCTGTGATTTTAACATGAATGCTTAACTTCAAGTTCTTCCTACATTTCCATATGTATGACTCATTTTATACTCATATTTAAGTTTCCTGAAGGACAAATGACTTCACAACACTACCTGGAGTAAGTGTGGCCATGTTGATTCAACACCCAAACAAGACATAGACACCAAATTGATCGTTTCGTCCCAGCGTAGGCGTTCCGAACATATGCAGTTTCGAGTTTGGGCGGGAGGATGTGGTACAGTACCACATGGCCATGGCCATGGCAGTGGCCATGGCGTTTCACTCGACTCTCCGGGTGACTTTCCGAGAGTCGGTTGACTTTCCACTAACCCCGAGTGACGCAACCCCAGCACTTGTACAGCCGCAATCAGAGACCAAGCCAAACAGGGCGGCACCCGCTCGCATCCAATCTAGTAGCGATGCACTTGCTACTAGTAGCTTCCTAGACCATTTAACATTTTCACCTTCCAGGTCTCTGAGGTCTGGCCAACCGTCACTACCCCCATGGCCATAAGCAGTCTTTGTGGCGCCATGTCTCTGACCAGGTTCGAACCGCTTGACTCCGGTCCGACAGGAAGCCAACTCCCAGAGCTTGGCCGAGAACATCTCCGCCGAATTGCAGACCTTTGGACCCGCGAACATCTCGACGGAGTCGCCGCGCAGCTGAGCCAGTGTCGGGAACATCGGACGTGTTTTGTCCCAAACAGATGGGGCTGTGCCATGAGCCTCAGATAATACAACTTCTTCCATGAATCTAGGAACAAAATGAAAGAAAACGAGCGTGAGCTATCCTGCGTCCTACCTAGTGGCAGCTACCTACTCAATAGCTCCTATAGCTTACCTCTGCTAGCGGCCTATCCTCCCCGGCCAAAAGCGGGAAAACAGAACGAGTTCGGGGGAGTTGAGGCTTTGAATTGATGTTTCGGGACTCAGTAATTACAGCGGCTATGGCTGCTTGATCTAACCACTGCTTGATCTTCCTATTGTTTTGGCTGCTGGTTGATTTGGTTGCTCAATCGAGGACCCCACCCACGGTTAGTAGAGAAACAGACAGAACTTCACGCCGTCCTTCGTCTTCATGCTCTGCCTTGAATTCTGTATAGATGCTCATGGTTCATGATGCTCATAGAGTATATAAACGAGCAAATCAAGTCAAAAATCATGATCGGACAGACACCAAGTCCGTAAACAACACAGGGGATCGCAACGCCCGAGTTTGAAGTTACAGATACACTTGGAGATTCACAATTCAAGCCACTCAACTGGTGTGATTTTGTGGCAGCAAGTGCTTGTGCACAGACCTTCCTAGCGGTGTGCCATGTCCCAGCGCCGCCTGCCGAGTCGACTCAGGAAGAAAGGTGGCAAAGGTGGGAAGAATGGCAAGGGCAAAGGAAAGGCCTGCTTCGACCTGTCGACCTGTCTGCGACCTTACACCGCGGTGTTCTTGCCAACAAAGCGGTTTTGATCCAACATGCCTTGTACAAAACAATAGGAAGTTGCTTGTGGACATTCTCACCTTCAGATCGTGTTGGCTTCGTGGGGTGAACGGACACGAAGATTCTCTTTGTCCCACACGATCTCCAACATTGCAGGGGCCCCACTCACACAGTCAGCTAGAATCAGAATCGAGACATATAACATAGTTTCACATGGTTTCATTTTGCTGTGGCAGTAGAATGCGATTCCATCTCATCATCTTGGTGCATCTCAAAACAATTTCCTGGAGGCCATTGTGGTGTCGCCTCCTGCTGCCCTACAGGAGGCCAAGGGGCTTACTGCAGCTATGGGGATGCTTCACCCATTTTTGAAGTTGTGAATGGTGGTTGAGAATTAACTGCTGTATTTGGGTTGGCTTGGCAAGTGATTTCCCAAATTTTCTTCTTACTCTTGCCAGCTCTGACCGAACCTCAGCAGCTGACGTGGCATGAGTATTCTGATCAGAATCATGCCTTGTATTGCTTTGTGATTGGCCAGGCAGTGCATTCTTTCACTGTCTTCTTGTATTTATCTGGGTTTGGTCGGACCTGGGAAACCCCCACTGGTTCTGTCCGTTTGGGGAGTGAATTACAACCAGCTGGTTGGAGGGACTGCAGGTGATCTAAAGAAGGAGCTCGGATGAGCGCAAGGCGAATTCCTTTGGCCTCAAGAGTGGTCAAGTGGAACCAACACGTCTGGAGTTTCTCGGGGTGAACACGGGGGTTTCGCAAGGTGCGCAAGTGGCGGCGAACAACTGATTATGATACGCAGATTGCTGCAGGTTTTCTGGAATCGGGGGAGTTTGAGGAGGAGTTTTGCAGAAACACCGTATCCATCAGCCTCCTTTCCTGTTCCCCTTTGCTCAGGCTCATGCTCAGGCTCATGAAAGGGGCGCTGCATGGTTCTCCAAATATATAATAAGGGCAACTAGGGCTCAAACTCAATCCTGTCAAGGGCAGGAAGGCTCAACACGTCGCAGGAACCTCTCCTTTGATTCGCCTTGGTTCACACTTATATAACTTATATAGTGTTTCTGGATCTCTGGAGGTAGTTTCCAGAAGGCCTCAATTGGGAAGAAGACAGATCAACATGTTGTCTTTTCCAGGAGATTGCTAGCTTGCGAGCACAAGTAGCGCAAGAGCGTCAGCGAGCAGCACAGGAGGAGTGTGCGGGTGCAGGGTCACTATTTTTGCTTTGCACCAGCCGAAAGCGGCTTTATGCTGATGCTATCACACCAGGAGCATAGAAAACAGATAGATATCCTTTTAACCAGAGTTCACATATTTAGGAGGTATCCGGTATCTATATAGAATCACTGAAGGGCTGAAGGAGTCCGTTTTGCAAGCTGGCAGCCACTTCAGCATGTCCATTCCTTGCCCGGCTCATCTAAGCGGTCCCTCTTGTCATTTTGTCGTCAATAGACTTGATGAGTATGCCTTCACAGGATGAGGCGCAAGAGAGAGCAACACGTGCACGGGTGGAGGAACAGTGCATGTGGCTCATCTGCAAGTGGAGCAGTTCATAGATGCCTTATGCGCTGAGGAACCTCCAAGTCTTGTCGGTATGTGGTCTCGGCCTTCTTTCACAGAGAGTGAACACGCCTCCGCAGGCAATTATCGTGGCGGTGCACTGTGTGCACCCTGGTCCCTCCAACCTTGCCTAGTAGCATATTTCTAAGTGATGGTCATCGCAAACACTTGACTCTCGACTTTCCTCATTGACAGAGACATGGAGAACAGCCGAGAAGCTGGTCTTTAGTATCCATCTTCCGTGCCGATGTTAGGGAACCAACATTTGGGGCTCCAGATTTGGATAACTCCTTTTTAGCACATATTTGAAGAATCTTTGTTGTTTTTTGTTTTCCTCCTAGTAGCTAGTATACAATGGGGTGATCTTGTATTGCACCAGAACCATGTACCAGTATGATGTAATACCCAAGCCTTAAGAGATGGAGTCCAGCCAACCGCTGAGGGTGGCAAAAACAACTTTTTTTTTTGATTTCGGAGTAGGAATTGGAGCAATCGAAAAGCACTCTCAGAGTGCAGGATAGGGGACAAGGCAAAGAAAACGTGAGTGGAAAGGTGAGCAGAAAGCGATTCAATGGTGATGTGATTGACATATTTGGATAGCCAAAAGCAATAGGAAAGCAAAACAAAAGTGACCAACATGTGATCCAAAAGCAATCCAGAATCGACACCCAATATTTCTACTTTAAACTTCCCACCTGGATATGTCACATGTCGTTTCGGGAGGCGTTACACAATATTTTGCTATTTGCTCACTATTTGCTCACTATTTTCTTGCTATTTAGCACACAAATATCCTGTCTATGTTTTGCTTTCCTATGTCTCCACAATCACTTTCTGATTGCTTTTTCTCCACATGTTGCATGAACCCCGGGCCCCAACCTATGTTCACAATTTTCTTGCTGAGTTCCTTACTCAGGACCTCACACAAAAAATAGATCCACATTTCCAGTGGTTGCCTGTCGGCGCAAGTCTTAACCCTAGCCTTTTCAATGCATCTACTGTAAGATCCGTCTGCCAATGACCAAGGTTGTTGAGGGCCCTCATCGACATGGTGCCTTGGCTTCGGGAGATCATGGCATTCAACAACTCCACTTTCAATGTTCACCATGTGTGTTTTGATCGATTGGATAGATTGGAAGCCAAAAGTCATTATTTCTCAGAAGAAGAAGAGGCCTTGGTCCTGGGGAATTATATATGATTAGATTGAACTGCGGGAGGATCAGGCCTCAGATGCCCCAATCTGCACGACCCACTCGTGGGTGGATTCACACAAGACAGGTGAAAGCCATGTCAGTAACCCTTGGCTGCCTAACATAGCCATAGCCATAGCAATGAACCACGGATAACCAAGCAGCTTCATTCTGCCCTCACAAAGCCTGTTTGATCCATGGAGAGCGATCAGAATGGAACAAGGTCTTGAGACCGGAGGGATGCATCTAACATCGTCCTGGTACTGTTTGAGGAAGATATACATGTATCTAGGGGCGGCTGCGTGGGTATTCGTTGGATGCATCAGCAGACGTCAGTTGGCCCTTCCGCCCCCCCAACGTCTCTGAAGGCGGCCTCTTTTCCTAAATCCCGTTGTATAAAACCCCCCCAACCTTCGGCGACCTGATGTCATGTCCTCTTCATTGAACTCTAATGTTCTCCAAGGGAACAGATTCTGAGCCTTCATTGAAGACTCAGAAGCCCTCTGAAAGTTTCTTCAGCTTCTATCCAGCATAGAACAGATTCTAAGTGCTCGGTGGGAACATGGCCGAGCCCAGGGCACCTGGGCCACATGGCTAGGGCTTTCACATTAGTTAAGTTTCCCTAAAAATCTAGGAAGCAAATCATTAGTGCGAGCGCTTCTTCAAGGAAGCTCCCCCGCCGCCCTAAAGGGAGAGCTTCCTTGGAGAAGTGTGAGCTATCCTGTGTCCTAGGTAGTAGCGTTCTTGTAGCTACTAGCTACCTAGCTTCTACTAGCTACCTAGCTTCTACATGCTACTACATGCTACTACTAACTACCTCTAGCGGCCTACCCCTCCCCCCGGGCTTAAACATCTACTAGCTTCTTGTTACTACTAGTAAGGCACTTGTTGCTACTAGCTTCTTGTTACTAACACCCTAAAAACTGGGTTTTCTATTTTTTCAGTGAGCCACCCAGCTGCGGAAGTCAGAGCAGGTCACCGGCTCCGGAGAGCTCTCAAAGGCGAACTGGAGGGAGGAAGAAAGGGATCTAGGCCTCGCATCGAATTGGTTTGAAGTGAGGTCTGTAAATGTACTGTAGATGAATTGGATTGAATTCGGTGTCTAGATCTATCGCCCTAGCCCTTTTTTGCTTATAACAGATATGTACACGGAAATTGGAGCACCCTTTTTTGGCAATGCGAGTACAAGAGAAGGACCAAAAGACATGTTTGCTTTGGTACCACAAATGGATCCTCTGATACGGGTGATCAGTCAGCCTCTCTTTTTAGGCAGGATGCGAAAATGCAGAGCAGATGGCTATGTGGTGCGGTATACCATGTCGCAAATGAGTCCGACCTGGGTACACTTTGGTGATAGAAGGACGACAAATGACATCTGCCAAAAAGAGTAGGCCTGGCATAAGGGTTTTCTAGCCTTTGCAGCTCGAACATGCACCCTAAACTCATACCAGATGACTGGTAAAACAAACAAAGAAACAAGCAATCAAACAAAGAATCAATGAACGAAGCAAGCCTCACTTGGATTGGGAAAGAGAATCAACGGCGTGTCCGAGTACAAGTTCAAACGTCAAGCAAGCAAGATCCGGCTCTGAGTGAAGCTTTGGCCCAAAACAGAGACCACCGAGAGCTCTGCTGCGCAGCGACTGGGCAGCTCGGGCCTCGCAGACCAGGTCGCCATGGCAGGCGTGTCGGGCCGTATATTTGGTGCAAGAAGTCAGCACGTATCGTGCTGCACGGATGCTTCCGCGCTTTTCCGTATTTCTTCCAAGCTGGTTTGCAGAGATTGAACAACCAAAGGACAGGATAGTCATGGACAGTCTTTCCAACACTCGACAGTCCACTGCGGAGGCGAACAACCAAAGAAGCCGGTGGGAGGCAGGCGTGTGCATGAGTGTTTGGTTCACTTGGTCTCTATGGCAGGGGACGTGCAGCTGGAACCCATTTTCTTCGGTCTTCTTCTGTGCATGGAGGGGTTGTTCAGTAGATTGTATAGAATAGTGCCCAAAGATCGTGGAAGTGGAATGGGCACATTTCAGCACGTCTTTGACAATCCATCGAACAAGAGGGATGTTGTCGGATGATCCAGCCAAAGGTCGTGACTTCCGGAATTGGTTCGGATCTGCCTGTCGCACCTGATGGCAGAGTTGTTACATTACAAAGGGAAGTAAATATGACTAGTAGTGTTGCTTGGCATAGAATCTACTTTGATCGCCTTTGGACTTGAAAAGCTAATTAGGCAGGTTTGCCACATAAATGGGCCTTGATCTTGATATAGCCTAAAAGTGACACACCCAAAACAAATTGGCGCGTGGATGCTCAGAGTGGAGAGTCGAGGGGAGGGGAAGGGACCGCAGACGGTAGGACCGACCTCAAAGTAGGTTAAGATCTCCAGGTAGATTTATTCTTTGATCATCATGACATCTTGTGGAACATGGGCCTTGGCTATTTGGTTTGCTTGTTGGGTGCTGGTGTCTTGAGGTGCTTATGGCGTTTTTATGGCGGAGAAGCGCCGCTGGGCAACGAATGCGCTGGGCTGGCGGATTCTTCCGCGGAATTCTTCCGCGTTTGCATGTGACACCAGCGTCTGATGCGGTCTGTGCAGTGCGTTTCCTGCCGAAAACCAAATCCATTTATTACCAAACACAAAACCATCAATGTATATTTATAGCTGTCAGAGAAGTCCGCTGGGGAGCTCCTTTGACGTCTCAGAAAAAACAAAGACAACAGCAACAACAACAGCAACAACAACAGCAGCAACCGCAATAACCATAACAACAACTGCACGTCGACGGCAACAACGGCGGCGCAAGCTTCGGCGCGTCCGTTGGGGATCACGCTGGTGGATAGGTTTTCCTGTGGAACTGATATTCACTGGCCCTCACTATCCCACTGGCCCTCACTATCCCAGAGGCCATGGAAGTCACAATGGACGAGGTAGAGTGATTTGGGATGCGACTGTCCATGGGCTGCTTTCAAGAAGAGCTTTCAGGACATTAGGGCCTAGTGTGGTCAGCACCACTGGAAAGGAGTATATACCCAAAATGGACACATACCGGTTTGGCAAGCTGTCCATGAAGATCCCACAGTACGCAGAGTGACTAGGGTTTGACCTGCATGCAACAGCGATCCAGTTGACAAAGGACTTGATAATGAAACCTCATAAGGGTAACAAAAAGGGGCCAAGTGGCATTTTCGGATTGGGAGATTGGAGCGGAGGAGAAACCTTTGTTCAACATGAGAGCCTCTGCTCTTTCACGCTGAGTGAAGACATTGAGGGCATCGGGAAGTCTGGTGAGACATTGTGAGGGCTCAAACTGGACATCCAAAACCTTCAGAAGTTCGATAGTACCTTGGTGAGCTCTTTATGTGGGTAGGCTACACGCCTGGGCTGAGACTTCGACAACCAAGGCCCAGAGTTCGCCAAGGCCTGGTGGCTTCGGTCCTTCCCACCAGCTGACGGGGCCAAAGCATTACTGTACATGAATCTCCATGAGGACGACGTCTACGGCGACAAACCCCAAGCAGTCCTCTGAGATTCCAAACCTGGGATCTGCCAATGCCAAATGCCTTTTGTCAGATCTTTGGGCGGCTGCGCTGCTGCACCCAACAAAGTAATTGTTACCTCTGTGGCTATGGGTTCACAACATGTGCCGGACCAGCAAACACAGCGGATGCCATAGATGCTGCAGCCGCAATTGCCGCAGATGCCCCACGGGCAAGCGCAGCAGATGTTTCAACAGCATGTGCCGCAGCAAATGTCCCAGCAGCAGCAACAGATGCCGCAGATGCCCAACCAGCAAGTGCCGCAGATGTTTCCACAGCATGTGCCGCAACAGATGCCCCCGCAGCCACAGCAGCAGCAACAGCACCAGCAGCAGTGCAGCAGATGCTTCCACCGCATATGCCACAGATGCCCAACCGCCAAACGCAACAGATGTTTCAACCGAGCACGGCGCAGCAAATACCACCGCCGCAAATACTGCACGAGCAAGGGCCGTTTTCGGGATCGATGGGTCCTTTTTGTTGGCTGAATGGTGCCTGCCAAAGTTGGATTCAGAAAAACACAAAGTTTGATCTGAAGATTCATAATCCACTGAAGCGTAAATTCGCAGAGGATCTGGACAGGACTCAGCTGCTTGGCAGACCTTCCCCGACTTACCTTGTTACGATCGTAGCTTCTTGTTACTAGCGATGCCCTTTGTTGTAGCGTCCTTGCTCCTAGTAGCGATGCCCTTGTTACACATTGCAAAGCCGTCCTTAACAGGGTGTCCGCCGATATTTTTGCCGTTTTCCCTTTTGCTAAGCACCAGGTCGATGAGCTTTGCCATATTCTCCCGGGAAGGTCACAGGATAACTTCCTTTGTCAGGCCTGCGAAGGAAAGAAGGCCTCCGAGGTTAGCAAGATGGGAGGCGGGATTGAGACCAACTGGGAGTGTCGGAAGATCTGGGTTGAGACGTTTTGGGTGGGTACGGTACGGACATTGCCTGAATGTCTCAAGCAGAAAGGGAAAAAGACACCACTCGAATCCTGCGACTCCTGTAGCTTCTTCAGTCTCCCATTCCTCGTGTCGAACATATTTGGTTTTGGCGAGGACTATGATTTATGTATTTCACACAGGACACAGACTTCAAAGTTTGGGGACAAACTGCCTTGTGCGTGTCAACGGTTGTGGCCAGGAGCAGCTTGGAAGAAGCTGTCCGAAGCGGACAAGGTTTCGATTGCGGGCACAGCGGGTGCATGAAAAGATATGAGGTTTCCAAACGGCTTCCGCCAGTCAGCCGTTTGGTCTCGCCAGCCTAGAAAACATATGAACCATATTCCCGGTGTGTCTCTGAGGCGACCAAGTTGACAGTCCCAGTCCCAGGGGTTTGCTGAACATGAGTTACGCGGTTGCGGTCCGGACCGAACGTTCGGTGCAGTCGTTCGGTGGGCCTCGTTCGCCCCGCCGAAGAGACCGCCCGAGTTTGGGGCTCGTTCAGAATGGCACCCGTTGGGTGGGACGTCCGACTTGAGAACATGGTAGAACCACCCCAACGTTTGGTGCCCGAAAAAGAAACGGCCAGAGATGAACAAGAGAGATAAGCTGAAAAGGAGTGACTTCCGGAGATAAAGATAATTAACTCTTGAGTTAATTCCTTAGGATCATATACGTTTCAACCACCTGTTGACTTGAATTACCTCTGGAGGTAGTTGTCTTTCACCCGTGGGCATGTCTAGGAATTAACTCCTGAGTTAATTCTTTTTGAAGCCTGCGCACACGTGGGCGGATTTAGCTCGAGAGTTAATTCTTGTTCATGTAGGTTTTGATTGTACGTGGAAACGCGGATTTTCTTCCTGTCAGCCACTCAGCCGCTCAGAATCGAGTGACTGAGTGGCTGACAAGAAAAGTCTGAGTGACTGAGTGGCTGAGTGGCCGACAAGAAGAAAAGCCTGAGTGGCTGAGTGGCTGACAGGAAGAAAAGGTTGAGTGACATGACAGGAAGAAAAGTCTGAGTGGCAGAGTGGGTGACAGGAAGAAAAGCCTGCGTGGCTGAGTGGCTGAGTGGCTGGTAGAGGAGTGTAAACGTTCAGATCACCTTCACAAGCCTTGCAGAGTCTTGATTTGGCCAAACCCACCAGGAGTTCGGGAAACAGCATGAGGGTGGCAACAGCGCCAATGTAAGTAAGGTGTTGTATATTATAGTCCTGGTGGAACGGAATATGACGACCCAGCAGACGCCTTGAAAGCTGGCGTGCCTGTAACATTGCTGGAAAGCGGAAGCAGTGACAGCGAAACTTCAACTACAATGACTACAAGTGCTGGGCATCGGTCACCGAAGCGGGCGGCAACGGTGCAAGAGCGCAAACGCAGAACACCGCAGCCCAGCAGACTCCAAAAAACACGAAGAGCACAAGTGATCACGACGATCAGCAAAGAGGCCAGGGAGTGTTGCTTGCAAGATCTGCAAGAGCTTGGGGCAAATTGGGACAAATCATTAGACACGCACAATGTGTTTGGGAACGCTGGGCGCGGATGGTCGTGGTTGAGGTCCGGCAGGGAACACTGGGTGCGGATGGTCGTGGTTGAGGTCTGGCAGGGAACACTGGGCGTGGATGGTCGTGGTTGAGGTTTGGCAGGGAACACTGAGCGTGGATGGTCGTGGTTGAGGTCCGGCAGGGAAAACTGGGCGTGGATGGTCGTGGTTGAGGTCCGGCGGAGGACGAGGAGGAGAAGGAGGAGAAGGAGGACGAGGAGGAGGAGGAGGAGGAGGAGATATAAAACCTAACAACCCTCACCTGACAGGTGGGGATAAACAGCAAAGAAAGAGATAGACAAAGAGAAGGAAGCAAGGAGACAAAGTGAAACATAATTAACTCCAGAGTCATATAATATCTTTTTGGTGGCTTGTTTGTACCACATTTTTATCTGCCTAATCCCCTGTCACCTGCCCAGAATTCAGTACTACTAAAGGTGAAAAACAAAAGAGAACGATATAGACAAAAGAGAAGGAAACACGGAGACACTGTGAAAAAGAATTAACTCAAGAGTTAATTCGTTTTTGGTGGCTATAGAACTCAATACAGCTAGAAGAAAAGAAACAAAAGAAAAGACGGAGATAAACGCAGAGAAGAAAACAAGGAGGCACAATGAAAAGTAATTTAGTCAAGAGTCAATTCTCTATTTGCACAAGTGGCAAAGTTGACAGAACTAACTCCAGTTTTGATTCTTTTAGAGTTACAGGTTGAACAGGTGTAAAAGCTAAAGCATTAACACTGGAGTTAATACTGTTTAACTCTTGTTTTCAGCCTCTTCCGAGATGAGCTCGCAGCCAGCTCGATGATTTTAACATATTTTAACCACTAACAATGGACGCATCCACTTCAATGTTTGGATGGAGAGGAGTTGACGGTAGCACTTCTTGTCTCAGCGAACGTCCTTTTTCACATTTGCTTGTCTGACTAGAAAATTCCCGGCTTTCTACGCCAATTTGTGCGGTTCGTACTCAACCCTTTTGATGATTCTTCTACCACAACCAGCATGTACTCTATTGCCACCTAGCTGCTGTGCATACACAGTACATACCACATATAATATACAGGTACGCCTATATATATATATATATACAAATACACATAATATATGTATACGGTTAGACACTCTCAGGATTTTCTGCTATTCTAGTTGTTTCTTCTAAAGAGAATGGATCCCAAAGTATATGGCTCTTCAGATAATAGTTTGTCCGGGTCCACTGCCATCATAGAATCTCGTACTACTTATGGAGACTTAAAACACCTCCAGGTGTTGTTGAGGATAGTTGAATAGCTTGGCGGTGACAGCAACTAATTTTGTCCCAGCGGAAGGCGGGACATTTCCAAGTACTCCAGGCGCCGTATGAGAAGATGTTTCAGGAGAAGAAGAAGAAGTTTGAGGAGGACGCAGAAAGCTGCCATTCGGGCTCGGGAGAAAATATCCTACGCACCAGGATGAACATCCTCATTCATCAAGACAAATCATTTAGGTTTGTCCCATTCTGACTATACAGTGGTTGTTGGCAGATTTTAAGCATTTTTTTGGCAAAGGCTCTTAACAGTCTGTAGCGGGAGCGCAGTGGTAGCTGCAAAAGGTGGGCTAACAACCAACAAACCACGTCGAACGCGAAGGCGGCAGGCGCCTATGGCTTTTTCGAATACCGCTGTGGTCTCACGGTAAAAAGGGCCCCACATGAAAGGTGGCGCAACCAAGCTACATGACAGGTCGATGCACGTGTTGCACCGGTAGACCAAAAGATTCAGGCTTTGCCTGATTGGAGTGGGCATCGATCCTGGCCAGCGCTTTCTTGCCGGTCTTCTTGTTCTTCTTTGCCGCTGTGAACGTTGGATCATAGTTGATCACACACAGCCAGGTCTGCAAGAACCGCTGGAGTCCAGTGCGGCTCTCGAGGCGCTTCTTCGTAAGCGCATTGCCCAAGCGACCCATTGGAGCTCACAGCCAGAGCGCTTCAAGTTTTCGTGCAACTGGAGGGCCTGCGTGGAGGGCCGAGCGAAGGTTCGCCAACCCCACTCGTTCACCTCCACTGCATCGTAGCCTCCACGGCTATCGGTGCATAGGACTCCATGGACCATGCGGACGATCTCCTGCATGGCGTCCACCATGTCAAAGCCTCGCAGGCTGCGGATCTTCAGGCCTGCGCCATGGACTTCTGCCCATAAGAGCCGGCAGCGAAACAGAACGTCCTCGGTCTTCATTGCTTCCCACGGCGCGGCGCTTGAGCTTCCAGGTGCGCCAGGCCAACAGACTCATCCTGCAAACATGCCCCGCCTTGCAAGCCAGTGAAGCAGCGAGAATCACGAAGCCTCCTGTGCTCTCGCCTTTGCCCCTGTTGTTGTGGGCTTGATCGCCCATGCCAATGAACACCACTTCGGACCAGTGTGTGATGCCATCGAACTTCGCGAACTCAAGGGATGTGGCCTGAGCACGGCATTCTGCGATCATGGCCTGGATTTCTCTGGGGTTCCAGCAGTTGTGACCTCGGAGAGAAGCAGGTTGCAACGAGCCGTCAAGGGCGGTTGCGACTGCATAGCCAACCATTAAAGCGCTCCTAGACAGGTCTGCAGGCAGCAGCAACCTCAGCAGATCGTAGAGCATCTTGCTCTCCAAGGCGGTTGGCATCAATGTCATGTCAGTGAGGCCTTCCACCTAGTCACCTAGCTGTTCTGGTCGGCCACAATCTTGAAGTTGCCACCCTTGTCGAACGTCAGGGCCAGCATGTCGGTAGGACCCTTGTTTCATAGTTCCCCACTGGTATGCGGTTTCAATGAGACGACGCACCTGAGCTCTCATGTGGAAGTCGTCCACGTGTCCTCCCATCAGACCGATGAATCGTGGGTGATCACCATGGGGATCTTTTCATGTTTGCTGTGCCATGCCCAGAGACATCGTTCACCACGAACCGCATGACCACCAAGCGAGGTGAGCTTCTCATTCAACAAGAGCCAAAGCCCCTGGGAGCTGTGCCATAGATGTAGTCTTCTGAGGCTCCCAGAGCTTCGCAAAGTTCCGGCGCCCATAGGTGTAGAGCTGGTTGTCCGCGGCAGTGAGTTCCGTCTGCAGGAACGCAAATGCAAGGTCAAGTCCCTGTAGCTTCCATCGCTGAATCGCCGAAGCCATGTAGATCATGTGCCGTCCCAAGGAGGTGCGTTTGTCTTGAAGTTGCGTTCCAAAACACTTGGATGTTGGCTTTTGCCTTGCGAGTGCCGTCGTGGTTCACCACAGTGTTGGGGTTGTTATCATCGATGGCTTCTTGACGTTCATCTGGAGTGACAGGCTTCCAGGTCAGGGCCCAACGGGCCTTGAGAATGCGGCCACTGCCAAAGGCTTCACGAGCTCCTCATCGTTCAGGCAGCGATGCGCAGCGCTGCGCAGGAACGAAGTGACCTAGTTGAACTTTGCGCGGTTGAAGAGCGCCAAATCTCGAGCGCTGACGTTCTTGAGGTTGACTTTTGAGGAGTTGAGCTTCTTGGTCAGGTAGAGGACAGGATCTTGCATGAAGCTCCTCCGCTGACGACGATTCTTCAGCTCAATGTCCAGACAGTCACCATCGTAGGACTCGAGCAAGGCGAAGAGGTCATTGTGGGTGATCTCATCTTCAGCTTCCTCTCGCAGAAGGTCGAGCCACTTGAGGTCATGCTTGGTCCCATGTTCGCCACGGTGCTTGGCCATCAGCCAGCTTGAGCTTTTTCGGATCTGGTTCTTCACTTTCC